TGTACGGATATTACTTATACGTGATTAATCAGAGTTGTCTTAATCTATCAAATAATCAGGTAATAGTGATTTAATGCGAATCATAATGTTTTTAAAATAAACGTTTAACATTACGATTTTGAGATATGAAAAGTTATCAAAATCACATTTATAAAAACAATTATAAAAAAAACTAAATAAGCATTTAAACATTACATTTTAATAAAATAAAACACTTTTATTTCAGCCATTCTCGATGACGACATTTTCACTTTTTTTTTAATAAGTTAATGCATTAACCTATTGAATTTAAGTATTATATATATATATTATAATAATGATCTCCTCTTAATTATTGTTTTATTAAGTACATGTAAAACTCATCATTGATATTCCTGTTATCTTTTGATAAAATCAACAGGGTTTTCAGTATGTTAACTTAACAATAACACGATCTTAGTATTAAAACAAACTACAAAAGTCGGAAATTAGAATGAGCAAAACGAATATACAACAATTTTGTTACTTGATTAAACCATGTTTATCCAGGTACTGAAAACAACATCAAACTTAAAGATCTAAACATGGTGCAAGAAACTCAACCAGGCGCCCAGAAAAATGTTCAGCAGTATCAGGTTTTTATCACAAAATTCGAGATATTTTAATATGAATGTCTAAAATGACCAAAATGTGAGCTATTTCTGTTGCTTCAAACCTTGCTTTATTTGAACGTTCTTGTTCTTCTTTCAAACCACCTTGCAAAATGAAACCTTCTTTAGGTTTGTACTCGCACTTTTTTTTATGAGATTGGTAATTAATCCACACTGTGTTTGACATCTGATAGTCTCAAAACCAACACGAAATGAGTTAGAAATGAGTTACTTTTATCTAACTCGAGTAAGACTTAATTAATGAAATGGTACTTGAAATCAACATACTGAATTGATGTCGTTTGCTAAAAAGGATCACACTTTGTAACATAGCGTTTTATCAAGTACATGTAAAACTCATCATTGATACTCATGCTATCTTTGATAAATAAAAATAATCAGCGTTTGTAGTAAGTAAACATAACAACAACACAATCTAACTATGAAAACAAACTACAAACGTTCGGAAATTAGAATGAGCAAAACGAAATAGCACATATACCAAAATTGTGTTACCTGATTAAAATATGTTTTTCATGTTTACCCAGGTACTGAAAACAACAGCAAACCTAAGTGTTATTTTCATTTTTTTCATTATATGAGTGGTCTTAAACACATACAAATACAGTGTATTATCTTAAGTCCCTGTGTGAACCACCCGACTATAAGACCGTTTGAATTATAAATGATACATTTCACTGTAAATGGTCGGTTTATAATTGGATTATTTTATCAAAATTAAGGCTGAAACTTCCTAAGAGTAACTTTTTTGCTGTTTGGTCTGGCACTTTTGTGTTTCATTTTGTTCCATGTTTCGGGAACTTAGTTTCACAAACTTTTGGCCTCGGGAGAACCTTGTAAAGACTTCCAAGTATCATTTTTTTTGCATCATACATGTATATGATAATATAACGAAAATACTATTTCAGAATTCTGCAGGTTTGGTTAACATCGAGGTTGACTTCGAACACAAACAGAAAAAGAATGGTCCTAAGTTGTTCTCCATTCATAGTTCAAATAATCGCACGCCATATGCTGATATTGACTTTACGGCTAAAGCTGATCCATTACCAGAAAGTGAATCTGACGACAACAGAAGTGAAGAAGACGACTTTTTTACACTAGAAGATGTACAAGGGTGCCCCATCAAAATTTTGGAATAATTTTGTGTTTTACCATATGATTATATTTCAATTCGCTGAATATGTTTGCATGAGTTTAAAACAAATACGAGATTCAAATATACAACATCATTTGAATTTTACCTGAAATTTTCAATATACAGGTTCTAATAAATAATATAACTATTTGATGAAATCTGTCTAGAATACAAATGAGAGAACGCCAATTTTTGTCGGACCATTGACTTGAATTGCATGTAAAATTTACAATGGATTTTGTGTGATGAAATGAGCAGGTAAATGCTCATTTCAAAAGTAACTTAGATTTAGGCTGTGGAAATTCATCATCACGAAATTGAAATTTACCTTTCTATTTACATTTTCTGGACAGGAGTACTTTCAATATGCAATTGCTAAACATGTGTAAAATCATTATTTCGAAACGACGATTATGGACTGCAACCTTTGCGGCATTACACAAACTGAATATTTGTTTTGATTTGATACTGACAGTGTACAGAGAATATTTTTTTTTTATAGTTGTTGATAATATGAAAAATTAAATGACTCCTTTAACAGCAGACATATCTTTTCATCTTCGATTTTATTTAATTCAAGAGTTTTGACTAAATTATTGATTTAGTGAAAGTTAATCAGATAACTATCAATTGTATGTGTTTAAGTCATCATATTTGATATAACAACATACTTTTAACATGTTTAACGAGATGTTGCAAAAACATCCCATATTCTTTATGCCGGGGTTAACACTCTTACAGTAAATTTTGAACTATTTGCCATTGCCGTGGACAGTAGATATTGAATACATAGTTATCCGAAATGCATCTCGTTTTACCTTTGAAGACCTGTTTTAGGAGAGAAAAATTAAAAATCTTTCGTTAGATGACCACAATCCAGATAAGGAACTTGCAAAAGTTATTTGGAATTCTAGCAAAGTCACTCTTTTATATCGTACAATTATCAGTGTTATTGTTTGTATTTCATGCAATAACCATTTAATGTAAAATGTATTTGTGCGAAACGATATTGTTTATTGTTTATTGCCTATAATTTATAATTAAAAAAAAAGAAACCAAAGGGAAAATACAAAATCGTACGCCGAACTTAAAACGACGAATAGACCAACAATAATCTACATAGAATACTAGACTGAGCAACATGAGCACCATCAAAAACTGGGGGATCTCGGATGCTCCTGGTGGGTAAGCAAATCCAGCTTTAGATACACATCGTTTTTTGACAAATAATAATCGGTGATGTGTCGCTTACGGGGATGCCATGAGAGAGAAAAAGAGTACAGGGTTGAGTGTGGCTACGACAATTGGCAATATATTCTATAACGTTAGACCAAATCCTGATGGGATCCGTAAAACTTTCGAATGGATGACCTTGAATTCACCTATAGGGACGCTGGGTTCAAGGGCTTCTTTGTAAGCATTAAAAGAGAGGCGAAAGGTACCAAAGGGATAATCAAACTCATAATTTAAAAACGAATTGACAATGCCTGGAAAAACACAAAACGACCAAAAGACAGAAAAAGTATATAAAACACAACATCAAAAACGAAATACTGAGCAACATGAACAATACTTAAAACTGGGGTGCGTCGACAGGGTAAACAGATCCTGCATCACACGTGACACGTGATGATCATGTATTTACAAACCCAGGAATAAGTCTAATTCGGTATGTCACATTCGAGGAAAAGAGGACGGATTGTAGTTACGACAATTGGAATATATTCGTCGTCATTTGTGTCACAAATAATTCATAATGGTCTACCAACTCGTGATGGTGTTCGTTAAATTTTCGAAGGAATGATATTAACTTTACCACTTAGAGCTCTCGTTTTAAAAATTAGGAAGCTGAAATCATCTCTTTTGTCGTAAAGTTATGTTCTCAATCGACATTCATTGATCAACTAAACTGATCGACAGTAACACATAGCTTATTACCACACTGTTACAGGTTTGTATTGACATACTAACCTATAAATCATCACGTGTTACAATTGATCAGTTAAGTCGCGAGTGCTCTCGATTAACTATTCTAGTACAGAGGTTTTGAAAAAATATCGTTTAATTCATGGATAGCCATTGATTAAAATCAGCATGAACAAAATGAAATTAATATCCATGCAGCATTGTCTCATATATATGTCCTCTACTAGTAAGAAAAAATACTGCACACAGTATCAATAAAATATGCGGCTTAAAAGTGTATAATAACACCAGCACTAGGGTTAAAAATATCATATGAAAGAATAAATACAAAATTCAATGAATATCCCTCATCAGTATGAGTAGGCTGGTGTAAAATGGGGTCATTAGCTAGTTTCCTTTCGTGATTTGTTTTCTTTTCTTTGTACTTTTATTCATAAACTCGTGTATGGTTGATCTTTCTCAGTTTATTTGTTGTCGCCGTTAGGCAGTGACGTCACAATAAATATTGTATGCTGAATACTAAAAAATCTTCAAAAATGATGAGGATAACCTAGTGAACCCATTTTCCAAGTCATATCCCAGTTATTGACATATACTGTTGAAGCATGATCTTTTGGTAAGATTTAAAATACGGAATTGTTCACAGAAAATTAGTCCATATTGATTATCGAGAGAACAAGTTAGAGATCTTTCGTTTTGCCTTATAGCTAGACTCCCTTACACTCATTAATGTTTACTATTTTGCTAACTGAAAAGGTCTGGAATCTTTTAAAGTACATTAATTTTACTTTTCGTTTATATGTTGTTAATGTTTGGTGTATTGAAATGCTGTACATATATTTCCGATGGCAACAAAATTTTCTGGTATTAGATATAATGATGTCTTTTTGCATTGTTAATATTATTGCTATACGAAATCTATTCTGCATATAGCCACCAATATTAAACTTTAATTCAGCAGGACGTTAGCATATTAGCAGGTCAAAGGAATTTTGCTCTTGCTTTCTTGCACTTTGAGCTCTCTTTGAAAGGAGTTTACGTGTACATGGTTTTATTGCCTACTACATGGGAATTGTCAACTTTCGGAAAAGATATTCATCTTTTTTAAAAATTTCAATGCACTTATTTTCCTTGATATACCGCTCATTGAGATTAATATTATCTGGAGACGAAAAAATATTCAACTGCCTGCCCATGATCAAAAACAATATCAATAGTTGTTTCATGGTGTATGTAAATGTTTTTAGTCCTATCCAGTAAAAATACAAGTCTTCATTTTCCAATTTTTTAATACGGTTGAGATGATGACACATCTGATTGTGTCTACTGCTTCATATTTCAAGGGTAGCATGCAATTACAATAATGTTATAATATCATCTTACTTTAAAGTAAAATTCAAGTCATTGTATAATTCGTCGTTTGGGGTTACATGGTCATAGTTAGTATCAAAATGCCTGGCCGGTTTTGGTGTCCGGTTAAGAATATTGTATACTTCTTCCTTTTTGTTCATTATTGTTGGAACATCAGATAAATCAATCGTAATCTGTCGAAGATCAGACACGACTGTATATGCATTGTCAGGTTTGAACAATGCTGGTATTTCAGTGATGTCATTAGGTGACATATAAGATTGCGTCAAGCTGACTTCCTCTGCTTGATTTAGATCTTCATCTCTAATTTCCATATAATTATCAATAGTCAAGACCTGATCATTTATTTGGACATTGTGTGGTTCCTTTTCCAGGTTAATATCGATGTATGAATAACTATTCACGATCTGTTCTAAGGAGCCTTCAACTTCTTCGTTTTCTACAATAGAGCAATCGGACTTGTTATAAATATACATGATATTCTATTTTTAATTCATTTTTCATATGTAAAAAATATATAAATTAAAGAAAATGTCGGCTTAGACGTCAATGGGACGGAAACTAGCAACATGGAACAATCGACATGTAAATCATGTTAACAGGGTGTCTACAAAACAGAAATAACAGTTATTAGGTCACAATCACGAATTAGTTGTCCGATGCTTTACAACGTGATTTCATGGTTTTAGATCTTAGATACCAGTATTGTCCAGTACTTTACCGATGGTGTCCTATTCTCGATTTTGACATTTTGAATGAGGATGGATTCGCATGGCAGGTGATCCATGCATATTAGGAAACTCTTATCCTGTCGACGCACCAAGTCTTTCTCCTTTTGGAATTAATGTGATTCCCTCTGTGTTTAGTCTGTTACCATGATTTGTCTATTCTGAATTAATTTACGAAGTCTGTACGTCTTTAAACTCATTTCGCCTAAATTTTACCATTAAACCAAGCTTTTCATAGCCATTAATAGACAAGTTTTGACTAAATCACACAAGACTTCTTAGAAGCACATGTTTCCTTCATAAACTCCTCAATGCAATCAAACCCAATCACAAACACCATTCCTTACGTTGGATAGCCACCTTAACTAGTTCCTCGAATAAATAATTATTTGAACACGGCGTTTAAATCTCTCACTTTTGTCAATTAGTGGACAGCTTGAAGTTCAGCGAATACTACGTAGTTAACAGTAAACAGTGAAAAGTTGGTTTACTCAATAAAGGACTACAGAAATATTGATGAAAGTAAAAAGTAATGTTATACAATATCGTATCAAAAAATGCTCTCATAATCAAAGCACTTAATGTGCTTTTGTATAGTTGCTCAATATTCATATATAAAAATAAGGAGATGTGGTATGATTGCCAATGCGACAACTGTCCATCAAAGTTCAAATGAAGAAGTTGTAAGCAATTATAGGCAACCGCACAGCCTTCCACAATGAGAAAAACCCATACCGTATAGTCGGCTATAAAAGTCCCCGACATTAAAAATATGAAACAATTCAGTTGAAAAAAACTAACGGCATAATTTATAACAAAACAATCTACGAAAAGCAAATATGACAGGCATGAACCAACGACAACTACTGAACTACAGGCTCCTGATTTGAAACAGGTACATGAAGAATGTGGCGGGGTTAAACATGTTTGTGAACGCTCAACCCTCCCCTTAACCTGGGACAGTGGTGTAACCGCACAACAAAAGAACAAACTATAAAAATCTGTTAAAAAAGGCTTAACTCATCAGATCAATAAAAAGTAGAAAAAAAATATCCTACAAAAACCCGGAACGGACGTGGCAGGTCATATATATATTTGAATATACATCAGGTGGATTTTTCTACAGTTTGCAAGTTATGACATTTAAACTAAGAAAGTTAAGCAAAATCTTTTATACATTTCACGTTTCTTGGTGATGAAAATAGCATACCTAAAATCTGTTAAATTGTGTCAATAACGGATGACATTTAAATGTATAAAAAATTGCAATGTGTAGAAACAGATTTACAGTTTAGTCTAAATCATTTGATATTTTCTTACGTTTTTGGATTTTTATATCAATTCTATAGAAGTCACATATAGGAGCTTTACTGCACCACAGATGCCAATGTCGACATCAAATGTCTCTTCAGTGATGTTCGAGGCGAAAACGTTTTAAAACTAAAACTAATACAAATGTTAAAGAGCTGATCAACAACCCCCTACCCCCCCCCCCCCTTTTTTTACACACACACAAAACAAAAGAAACAAAAGAAAATAGGGGGCGATATTATCAATTTGGTTGAAGAGCATGTTACACAATTATATTGTAATATATAATAAAAAACCAAACGGTGTACGCATACGTTTTGTTTTGATTGGTGATAGCAATAATTATTGTTTAAGGTATACTATAGATGGATTGAACCATTGGTTAATAAAGTTCATTAAAAGCGTCAACGTTAAAATAATCCGTTAACTTTTTATTTCAAAGGGAGACTAGGCTTAAGGAAAATAGTTTTAGACTAGAAGACTATGCCTGAGGAAAATAGTTTATAACTAGAGAACTATAAATAACCATCACTATAGATAGTTCATTTTAACATGTGTAAGACAAATATGTTATTCCTTATTAGGATTGTTGTTAGAAAAGAGGATGATAAGAAATGATATCGCCGTTACTACTTAATTTCAATTATGAGTGGAATTGACGATGTATTATCGAATGATGATTTATACTTGATAATTTTAAATTATGAAATTGTGAATAAACTGAGTATACTTGGTTTATAAAATAATATAATAGGTTACAATGGTGATTTTAGTTATGCTTGTATAATCTATAATTGTCTATTGTAATATTGAGGCTTATATACTTGTTCTAAAACATGAATCGTTGAGTCAATATGTTTTATCTACATTACCATAATTATACAAGACATCTTACATCAAATTTAATGTTCGTAAAACTTTTTAGTCATATCTAAATGTTTTAAGGCTTTTGTCAGGTCTTGCAGTTTTGTATAACAAACAAGGAGTTTGAAGCTCTCAACCAATTAAATAATGGAAATATTATTATTTTGTATTATTTTCAAAACTAAGGGGCAAAAAAGAGGCCTGATAATTCTTTCTCCTTTTCAAAAAAGGGTTATGTTTCGTAGTTATGCATTATTACGCATGTGTTTGCTATGCTACTAATACAGTTAACAATTGTCTCACCAACCCATTTGTTATTGAGCAACTTTATCAAACACCATAAGCAAAAAAAAAAAACAACTGTTATCAAATGCATCATATAAAAATATTTAATTTTGTAGAAGGTTTGCTAAAAAAGTAGAAATTATAAAAGTAGGTCATAATTATTCCTCATAAGGCCAAAGCTATTTATACGGTGGATCTGCAGAAACGTTAAAACACAAGTTAAATTTTAATATCAATGATTTATATGTGCAGGTAAGGTAATGGAAATCTTTCTATAATTTGTCGTTCTGTGGCTACAAATAATGTGGTATGTGATAATGATTACTGAGTAGGTCTTCCTGATTGCTTTTTATCGTAAAGAAAGGCATTATAAGTACACGTTGTCGTTTTTATACTACACGCTCGTAAAATGTTCTATTCATATTACCTTCTATTGATTGATTAAGATCTGCGTCCCTAATTTCCGTGTAGTTATCGATAGTAATAGGCTGATTGTTAGGTTCAGCATTTGGTCTGTTATTTTCCAGGTTAATATCTACGTATAAATAACCGTCCACAACCTGTTCATCGGTGCTGTTAACTTGCAGGTTTTCTGTGTTATCTACAATATGAAATGAATTTAGTACTTTAAAATTTCTGGATTTACCTCCATCAGGAACGGTCATACCAAAAACATTTAAAAGCGAAGAAAGTATAACTATATCACCATGTGAAGAACTGTATGACCAAAGGGACCTAGATAATAAAAAGCCAAATCCATCTTAATATAAATATAAGGAGATGTGGTAGGATTGCCAATGAGACAACTATCCACTAAAGTTCAAATGAAGTGGATATAAGCAATTATAGGCAACCGTACGGCTTTCAACAATGAAAAAAAAACCAGCCACATAAAGAAATTGGCAGAGTCAAACATGTTTAAAGGCGCAAACTCTCCTAACATGGGAAAGTGGTGTAACTGCACAACAGATGAACAAACTATGAAAAACAATAAAAACAAATATGAGGAACAGCTAAAAAATACGACAACCACTCAGTTACAGGTTCCTGACTTGAGACAGGCACATATAGAATGTGGCGGGGTTAAACATGTTTGAAGGCGCCAACCCTCAACTTTGTCAACTTTGTCTGAGAGAGTTGGAACCTTAGTTTCTTAATGATTTTTAAATTTACCAAAGGAAAATGATACTTATTTTTATAACAGCTATTATATTTTGATGCAAGAAAAGCTAATTCACGTCATAAGATGGTATCAACAATAAAGAGGTTTTCCTTGCTATTTATCTTAATCGTTTAAATAGTACAGCCAAAGATTTGTCTGTAAGAGTTGAATGTACAATAACAATTTCTTCAATTTAAAAATGGGTTAGAATATATCATACAAATCAAGTAAATTATAACAATGACCATTCTAAACATGTGGATATCGAAAGAATATCCAGGAGAATGTTGACAGCTTCAAATCTAAATTGAAGCAAGCAAAATTTAGAATTAAAGACCGGATCAATTCTGACTTGAGTAGATTAAATTCAAGTGAATTTATAGTATTGCAATAGAAAAATATGGACCATTTTAAGAGAATATGTGATTTTTTTGTATTCATTATACTGATAAAGCAATGAAAATGCGATTCATTGACTTTCGTAGGTTGGCAGTCTTTGTTTTTGTAAGTTTCTTAGAATAAAAGATGATCCGAGAATAATTTAAATTCCCTCAGTATATATTCATATTAATCGTGATTGCATTTCTTCGAACACATCTAGTTTAATCAAGTCTTAACTTTTTGATAGAGTAGATATTTTAATTTGCCAATATCAAAATGACCACTGACGTCTTTATCCATTCACTTATATAAAAAAAACAGATGACTTTTGATGTATAAAGACATTTCATAAATGCTAAAAGAATACCCGAATTCGATTGTTTTGTATCGATTTTATATTTCATATAATCAAAACATTTTGAACTATATATAGGATACGTTGTATATTATTGGAAGTTATCAAAAATGGATTTTGCCGTATTTCTTATTGTTTATTTGACAGTGTTTATATTCAAAATCATCTTATTAGTATTAGAATTTATGTATTCTGTTATCCAGATTGATATAAAAAAAAAAACAATCATAACATCTACTGTTGGTTTTACTTATATACAGTATCCATACAAATTTAATTTTAGGGTGCTTACGATGAGTATGTTCTATGCTTATAATGAGTATTGTTAGAATAGAGAAAAATAATTTTTTTTATCGTTTCTTGTTGAAGTCCACTTTGGAACGATATTGTGAACGTTTTAATGAAATGAACTGACCATTGTTCAACATCAATGATTTAAAATCCACACATAATAATATTACATTGTGAGGTCGAGTATACAAAAAAACTATTTTACTGAATAATAGGTATTCATGGTTTTTTCGTTCCTGATTTATAAAGGCTGATATATAGCTTATAGAGGACATAATTCCTAAATTCCTAAAGCTGTCTATTTTCTACACAGAACATGTGTCGTTGATAAATTTAGTCGTATATTTTACCTCAAACATGTTTTCCTATAATTTATTTAGACGATAAATTATAGTTGTCAGTATTAGAGTACTTCGTACTTACTGTTACTAATTCTGTAATTTCCAAAGAATTTTGCATAAAAATAGTGTTTTAGTGTTTTAAAATAACATAAAATTAACGGTATAAGATGCGCATTTCGACAATAAATGTCTCTTCAGTGATGCTGGAGGCAAAAATATTTGAAAAAAAGAAATTTGTACAAGAGCTGATCAACCAAAAGGACCTAAAGGTTAAGTAACATTACTTGTACCAGTATTTTTTTTAATAACCAATGGTTTATAAATGAATGAATAGATTGATGAATGAATGAAGGAATCTGTATTTTCTCCATGGATATGAAGATTTTGCACAAATAAGAAGCAAGTGCCTAGATAATTTTTTATTAGGACCTTTATTATGTTAATTCTAATATTCTGAAATCGCAGTTTTTTAACAAATTTATATCCCTGTGAAATTATTTCATGAGCAGAAATTCAATCACAAGCAACTTATCAGATGAATAAACCTTCATTCACAAAAAATAATTCGTCACACCAAGTTGTTAAAAAAGAACTCATCACATGCTTGGAAAAGTTTTAAGAACAGATTTAATTCATATGAATAATCAAATTTCTACATTTATATGATTAGTTCTTGAGTGACCAAACTTTGGTATATTCTTTTGAGAATAACAGATGTAGCACATTTCCATCTAGTAATGGTTTGGATAAAATTGTGTACGAATACTTACCAAATCGTGTATCAATACCTTCATAGTCATTTCCACTTCTAGTTCTAGTTCCGTCTGAAAACAACTGAGCTGTACCTGAAATGTATTTTTGCATATTTTTCTTTTAGGTGAAGTCGTTTTATTCTACAAAGACCTTATACTCCAAAGTAAATATGTAAACGTTAATCTGTAGAAATATACATTTTAATACGTATTTATTTCGGAAATTCACGTCTCAACAAGTTGATCCTAATGATTTTTTAAATTTTATCATATATGATCATTTCATTAGTCGGAAGTGGAAATCTCCATGTTTGCTCTTCATTGCACTGACAGAATAATTTGCATAATAACAGTTAACAACAAACTCATGACAGTACAGTTATCAAAAATTCAGCCGTTTCATATTTTGGGAAATTTGCTTACAAAAATATTTTAAAAGTTTTTTCATTACTGTCTTACAAATTATAAATACTGATGATAAGGTGGTGTTTCCTTTGCAAACGTCGATAGGACATACATGACTTATCACGCGGTCATGGCATACCTGATTCGAATCTAGTTTTACGGATGTGTTTGTGTTGGTTGCTTTGTTTTCAAAATCTTTGTGTTAGACTTGACCACTAATTATCTGACTATTACCACATTGGAGCATGATCCAGGAAATATATGACTACAACCTTTTGTATTAATTTATTCGTACGAATTTTTTGTTTCTTGTAACTCCATTCTGTCATAAAAATAACTGATATACAAATAAATGAAAATTAACGAATGGAACATTTGAGAAAAGTAAGAAGGACCAAGAGAAGATAAAACCTAACTAAAACTGCATTTTAGTTGCAATAGAATATGAGTGATCATCATAGTCATCAACTTTCAAATTCAATTATTCGGAGAAAGAACATCATCTTTTCAGCGGAGCATGAAGTAACGTATTACTGCATATGGTTTCTAAAAAAAATAACCTCTACTCATGAATAAAATTAAATGTGTGATATACTTCAATCAGGCAGCAACTCAATAATTAAAACAAATATTTCAGCATAGTTACGAAATAGAAAAAATATTTCAAAGAAAGTCAAACAAATAACAAAAGTTAAATAAAAAAAAATACAAATAGAATAAGAATCAGCGTTTGCATTAAAATGCATGAATAACTATATCTTACAAAACGTATAATGCAAAACAAAATCATCGATATACCACACCAAAGAAGAGAGCTGCTGGTGTGTTTATAACAATGAATTTATGATTACATCCTAACCTTTAAGAACTTAACTAAGAGTATTGCCTTTTTACTTACTGTTGTCTTGTGCCCTTTCTATGTGTTTTGTTATACTGCGAAAAAACAAATATGTACCATAACATTAGATTAACAGTACATATACATGTAGTAATAAATTAACATGCCATGGAATATTGAATAACACAACATGTTTGGTACAATTAACTCCCGTTACAGTATTCAGAATATATTATTTATGTATAATGTTTTGCTAGAATTATTAATTTTGGAAAATTTAGAAATGTTTTGCCAACGATCACTTGTTAGTGTTTAGCAATATAAAACCAATAGTTAAGTCATTCATAAATTACTTAATCAAATTTAAATATCAAGGAAGTTGAATAAATGTAAATACTGGATTAAGCTAAATAACTGTCTATAAGGACAAAGTAACTAGTCAACACGTTTTGTGATATTTATAACGTAGTTTCATGAACAATGAATGTTCAGAATGGTTTCATTCACGTTCTTTATATATTTTTTACTTTGCTATATCAGTATAATCAAACAAAATAGAAATCAGTGGCTTTCCTTTTAACTGGACGTAAATGTTTCACTTCTGGAATCTTCTAAAACGTCATCGGTGTCTGAGCAAAAAATTAATTAACCAAAGAACGTTTCGTCCTTTTTCACAAAAAGTTCATCAAATAGCATCGAGACCTAATAGGTAAATATTCAGTGTCTACTTCACAAATAGGTGCAGGTGTGTCCAGAGATGTGATTCGGACGCAAGAGATTTTTACAGTATGTACCATCAATTTCACTATTGTTTTGTTGTTGTTTATTTGTTGTTACAATAACTTTTTTGTTGGAGTTTTTGTAAGATTTATTTGTATGTTTGTTTGAATTTTTTTGTCAGTTGTGTTGTATGTCTGTGGTGTATGTTTACACAGTTTTTGGCTGATGGACCCCAATTATCGTGCCATTAACCAGATATTTCTGTTTTAGTTCTCACCAACTTTTTCACTATAAAGGAACTATGAACAACTGTCGTGGAAGGTTTAGCTATGTAGAAACTATGTTTTCTTTGTGTACATACCGTGTTTAAACCTTTACATATCTTTTGGTTTCTTTTGTTGTAGGATTGCTGTTTCATCGACGTATTCCTCACATTTCTATTTATCAGTATCAACAAAGTCCTGTGTGTTTGCTGGTTTTCTCCTGTAGTAAATATGTTTTAATACATTGATTGATTGATTGATTGTTGCTCGCTTAATGTCCAGTGGCAATTATTCCATGCATATTTAGAATGATGATTTTGTTTTAAAAAATCATGAGCACATAAAACAAAATGTACCTATGCCAGTAACTTTACTTACGATTTGTTTGATTTGTACTTTTTAACCATCAAACATATGCTGATGGCTACCATGATGCCAACTACAGTAGATACTATTATGATTATTATCATTTGCGTGGAAATTTGAACTTGGGATTTATCTGTTTCATGGATTCCATCATTAAGTGTTAAGTTCTTTGTTGACGTTTCGACCATTGATCCTCTGTTGGTTGTAGTAGGTGGCTGTTTATTAATATTTGAAGTTGTCGAATTTTTTGTGAAACTTGTAGTTGGTTCCCGTTTGTAAGTTGTCCATTTGTTTGTCGAGACTGGTGGTGGTGGAATAAATTTTGTTGTAAGGTAACCTAAAATTAGGAATATAAATTCAACAGTAGTAAATTTTTTTATCTACCTTTAGTTTTGATATCTTTTCAACCTTTTTTTGGGGGAAAAGACTTTTTATCTCTGATCGTAAGAACCCTTTGATAGTTTAAACTACTTGTGTATTCATTTATTTCATGAGAAAAGAATAAACGAGGTTTATTTCTGTTTTTTTAATGGCGATGAGTCAGTTATTATTGTCCTAGTACGCCAAAAAAAATGTGAAGCTTTATTCCGTGAGAATCGAAATTAATTCAAACTTTTAACAGAAAGTAACTGGAAAAGATCGATTAAACATGCACTTATGTAATGTAACCCAACCTGTCTACCTATCATTACCCCTGATAGACCTTGATATCAGAATTTCCTATTTCAATCTTCATTTATGACATTCGGGACTTTTTTTCCGAAGGTGTTTATATTTGATATTCCGTTGTTTCCTTTTAGATATGTACTATATTGGAGTGAAATACACCGGCTAATTATGAAATTTATTGGTTACCTGGACATCGAATATGAGTCAATATCTCCTGTGAACAAAAGTGATGAACAGAATGGTATTTAAAGTTCAAAGGAATAGAAATATTGACAGGGAATATAAACTTATATCCCTTGTGAAGATCCCGAATAACATATATTTTTTTCTTTTCTTTTATCCATGTTCATATCATGAATTTTCTATAAATATTTGATACACATTTGATGCATAAATCAGCGTTTGTCGGCGAGGTTGAAGGATAATTCAAAGACGTTATCGGAAAGTGCAGGGATGAGTCAATAGTCCAAGAATACAACAACATTAATAAAAGTTTAAGGTTATAATAATTTACAATTTCAGCACTACCTACATATGGACTATATATCTCCCAGCTAAAAAAACTAGGAGGGGCTTAGATTTCTTCAGGAATTTCCTTTGAGATAATACCATTAGGTCAATGCCTATGCTGGTGAACTGTTAGTCTTCGATAGTATCCCAAGCCCAGTAGCCAGTACTTCGATACTAGCATGATGATTCTGGTATTTTTTTTATTGTTTTGATTATTTTGAATTTAGGCTTGCATCTCCTTCATACAAGTCCAAACCTGTTTTGGGAGATATACATATAAGTTGTATATCCAACATTACAAACCTTATAATATTAACAAGAGTATCCGTATTTATTTGCAACAAAATTTTGAACTTTTTGGTTTTAAACACTCTTCAACTTCCTAATTGATGTAGCTCCCAACTGTTTTAAGCGCCACTGGTGAGTTTTGTGTAGACGAAACGCTCGTCTCATGTACTGAATTCTTAGCCTTGTGAACTCTTGGTTATTCGTGATGAGTTTTTTTTTACTTTTATCATGTAATGTTCGTTATTAAGACGTTTTATAGATTGAAAGGTCACAATACATCATAAGTACTACAAGTTTAATTTTGAAAAGGCAACTACTTTTTACCTGGTGTTGGGCATCCAGTAGCTCTATTACAGCGAGTGTTGTCACAGTCACACATCTTCCCACATGCATGTCCATAATATCCACGGTCACACTCTATAAAAATTATTTTGTTTTAAGTGTCACTGTACATATATACGATTAGTATATAAAGCTTACGTAGAGTATGAGTATATATCATTAAACAAATATACCTTGCTATGTCATTGGTTTTACAATCGCGTTGATGCTTTTGACTATAAACATGTTTTTAGGACAATATTTCCTATCCTCTCTTACTCAGAAATTAAGACAAGCCTGTCAGCTATTGAAATCTTATCAACGGGTATGTGTAATAGCATAGTGCCATCTTGCACTGTTTGTGGCTTAAGATCCTAATATCACGAAAGCAAACCAGTCACATATTCCACGTATTATTTTAAAATGTGTGAAAAGAGTTAGATTTTATTCGTTATTCGTTCAAACAGTGTCTAACTATGTATTCATTGGCTTGATTTATTCCCATAAGATTTTGGCTGACAAGTTTTCTGTGTATGGAATATTACGAAGGAAATGAAAGGCATACGTAGTTAAATCATCATGCCAAAAATATTCAAAGCAAACGACATCAACATATCTTCATCCGGTTTAAACAATATACAGCATGTCATGCGAATCTAAAGACGTACTGAATAAAAATAGCAGGGACAATTCAAGAACTGCCAAGTTTACTAAATGACCAAACCATTTAAACTGATATGATATCTAACAACAATCACTAAGAAGTTCCTGCCGGGGGACAGACACGTGAACATGCTAGCACTACTGTCGAGTTGTATTTATACTAATAGCGCGTCTGTCGTGCTTAATAACAAACCTGGAGTCTTTGACGAGAATATACCATTAATTTCACAAAATGTATAATCATTCGAATACTAAGTTTTTTTCTTCCTCAAAGCATAGATGAACTTAACCAGATTTAGCACTTCTGGTTTTTGCTCGTCAAGTTTGTAACTGATTTGGCTTTTAAACAAGTTTAATTCAAGCGGAATCGATGAGTCCTCTGTAGAGGAAACGCATGTATGGCCTACTAACTTATAATTATCATTCTATCTTTGATGAGTTACATATATTTATCATTCCTGTTATCTAATACACGTGCATATATTACCTTTTCTCTAATTCTTTGGCAATTTAACCCTTTCCGGACCCATTGTTTAAAAACATTTAATCAACGTGTGGTTGCCGATAATCTCAAAAGATGATTGAATGAGTTTATGGGTCATAACCTTTATCAGCTCACCGAATAAATCAAAATATGCTAACAGGTGTTAATGAAATTGACAACTTTGTGGAATGTGGAAGGCACTCAAAGGGGATTTTCGTTTATCAAAAATGAAAATTTATTTGATAATCATTAGAGAAACAGATTCTTACATAGTTACTCGTGGAGTATCGGATTTATCCAATCTTGATAGTTAAATTATTTATTTTAAAGTCCAAGCCTTTAAAATTCGATGATTTAACTATCTCGATTGGATAAATCCGATAATCCAGTAGTACCAATGTAAGAATCTATATATCCATGTGTACATTCACGTGTGTTTATTTATTTTCATAATTTTTCATCAATGTGTCCTATTCCCAATAATACATTTTTACTGGATGTGGTTTTGCATTACAGATGATGTATTTATAGAAAAAGACGCAGTCGATCTCGTTCAGTTTCTAGTTCATAGTATGCCCACATGTTTTTGAATACATAATATTATCATGAATTTGTTTATTGTTAATAGATTTATGAAATCTGTTACCTCTGATTTATAGTTTTGAACAAAGGGATTTGTTATCCGGGAAATAAGTTTAGAAAATTGCGAATATTTTCCCAAAAAATTTTCTAACCCTGTCGACATAACCTGTCTCTCTTCGTTTGAAGTTCATGCGATTCGCTATCTTGATTTTTATTGACGTACGTCAAACTATTATTAATTGATAGTTTTTTGCTATAACTAACCGGAAAATGTTGTTTGACTAATTCGTAATTGATTATCCCAATTTCAAAAAGTTTTAAGTGTAACCTTATCGGTTTAGTAAGTTTTGAACAAATAATTTGGTTGCCTGATTTTTGCCCTTTCACTTCCATTTGAAAGTCTGTACTTCTTTTATTCTGTTACTTGTTTCACCTATGTATGTATTAATTGTATTAATTATACTTACCTATTTGGCACACTGATCCTACTCGACCTGGTTGACATATGCACCCACCAGTTGTGTTCTTACATACGCCTTGTAGGTATCTTGTTGGATCAGAACAGTACTTTAAATGTTGCGCAGAACATGATACTTTACAATCTCTAATATCACCACACAGAGTTTCAACTGAAAATAAGGATTTTCAAATTTAATATAAGGAACTTCTGATCGTAAAGTGATCGTATATCTGAATATAAAAATAAGGAGATGAGGTATGATTGTCAATGAGACAACTATCTACCAGAATCTTATTTGAAATCGGCATTATAATAAATTCCTTCAATAATCCATATCTAAGACAGTTTATTTTCCTATATTTCAGAGGTTATATTTCTTCCACATTACAGATAACAAAGAAACGTTGCACAAACATCGGATTTTTTACACCTATTTTCAGTTTTGCGGTAATACATGTATGAACCCGACATTCGAACTTCATAAACTTAAAAATGGTATAAACACAGTTTTTTTTAAAGGAAATAATTACTTGTTTTATAGTATAACACTGTTACATAATACTTATTTCAAAGTTCGGGTATTTATTGACTGCATTGAAATGCTTGTTTGAACAATTATCACCGGAGTTTGATATTTCTTCGTGTTTATAGTGTGGCCTTTTATTGGACAAACTTTTTTTTCCTTCTTTTCCAATTTTTGTCAAAACTGTTTTGCTCCACCTAATATGAAAGTAATATAACATTTGCAAACTGACTTTAATGCCAAATTCAATCTTAAATAAAAATTAATCTTATAGTATGACAATAGTTCATCAATATAGTTTTTCGAACATATACAGTGACATGAACTTCGAGTCATTACAGCAAGAAAGCAAAGCAAATCTTATATTATACCTAGAAATTGGGTGCATAAATGAATCAACGTCAATATACATGAACATCGCAGCTTTCTAAGAATAACTAGCATGGTGTTAAAACACTTAAATATGCTCACATGTCAACAACAGACATTACTAGAAACTAAAATCCGGTCAATATGAACTATCCCGGATAGCCAATATTTCGAAATTACTTCAACATATTTTTGAAACAGCTGAATAAGTTATTAACCTGTCCTAGATATTTTTCAAGATGTCAATCATAGTAAGTCTTGTCACTTGTTTTTTTTTATTAGCTGGCTCAGTGGTAAAAGTTAGATGCAAATTTTTTATAAACAAGGTGTAATTTTGTGTTTTGCCATGGCGTTGTCAGTTTGTCTTCGACTTAAGAGTTTGAATATCCCTTTGGTATCTTCCGCCTCTCTTTTAAACGCAAAACATAAAAGTGATGCACCATTAGTTTTTATATGCTTGTAAACGGACCTGTGAAACGCCATGCATTATTTGTAATTACAACTGAAAGGTGAAGCTGATAAAAAGCAGTTAAAAAAATATAGCATTGTTTATTGCAGGTAATAGAGAGTACATACTAACCTTGTCCAATAGATATCGAAAATGAAAACGAAAACATCGCATTACACAATAGACTGAAAGTACTTAGGATGGACATCATGTTTTTGTTTTTGCTTGTTTTGCACTTAAAAGTGCAGAATAGTTCTGAAAAAGAAATAAATTAGATAGAATTCAATCAACCGTCAATTGATTAAAGATAAATATATGCTACACATGTTTACTAAAAGCTACAATTAGTTTGGTCTAAATTTAAATAAATGGAAAGTTTGTTGCGCGATGAGTTTTTTAAGATAAATACTCATCAGAAATGGTACAAGAGGTACCAGACAAAAGTCGGGGTCAGCCAAAATTGGATAAATATATTAGGAGCAGTGTTACGAAACGAGACTTAACAGAATAGACAAAATCAAAGAATTTCAACTTTCAACCAGGTTTTGTAAAATTAACATTTTTATAAGCTTTTAATGTTTTAAATTGTATGTAACTGACCGGGGTCAATACTAAAACATCGGTTATTTTGAAAATGGCGTCCTTTATAGCTCTTATAGATTATCAGAACGTTCTCATGATCGTAATTAATAGTAGAGATAACAACGAGATGTGGGTGTCCGTCAATGTTACTGCAAATCGATGTTTCAAATAATCAAAAGATTAAATATCTAAACTGAATGATGAATGAAATAAGACAGGAGGTAAACTAAACCAAAAGGAACTTACTTCGTCTTATGTGGATTTCATGATTTTCCCCAAACAGGAGCGCTCAGAACCAACATTTTGTGATGGCCAAAGTAAGGCAAGCACCTTATTGGAAGTTGTGTAACAAGTTTAGTCTTACTGGAATGGAACAGTAAAACATTCCAATAGAACTTTGTCTGAAGGGGTTTAAATCTTAGTCACATGTTCTGTTCACTTGCAGTTCGCTTTAGGCCGAGTGATTATCAATTGAAAGTATTAACGTATAGTTCTTTGAGATGGAATTTAACTATTCAATGAGAACAAAACGGCAAAACCATAAAGAGCATATATAGAACCAAGATAGCATATGGCTCCAAAAGGATAACGGGCTTCTGTTTGTGTTTTGTATATTGAAGATATTACAAAAACGAACGGTATGACAGTATAAGTATGAAACTGTCAAATACTTTGTACTGAATTATGAATGAAATTAGATTTTGAGCAATGTAAAATATTACACCAAGCCAACGACACACTGATTTTCCAGAAATTCGTATCAAACATTTTGCAAGCACAAAAACCATTGTGCTAACTATGAATCAATCGAGCCTAAACAACTCGTGTGCAAATCTAATATAATAGCATGAATATTAATAGTTATGTTTGATATAGTGACAACAGCTAACGAACTATCTAATTACCCAATATAAAACAATTTAACAATTTTTGGAATGACTAAATTTATTTTTGAAGCAATTGCCTTCTTTTAAATAATAGAAGAGATGTTTGAGTTGAAATGGCGCAATGAAAATATAAAGTACATTTTAATTACATATAGTCAAATAACGTAAGTTCGTCGCAACCAATGATAGCAACCACCACCATAATTATATTTCTTTTGTCGGATTGGACTTGATATTTACGAAGGAAAAATGTTCTTTAAAATTGATTCATTAATCACCTTGAATCAAAATTCGTATTTTGGTCTACCCTTGTTTTGAAATTTGTCATGTAAAATAACTCAAGATGTTATAGATTAAGGTTGTTGTAAGACACGCTGCATATTGATGCACATGCAAATTGATTTTAAATACTGTATAAATGGGAACAACTACTCTCTGAACGTACATATTCCAATTCATTTCAGTATTTTTCAACGCAGTGAATACTTAACTGATCATATATGTTTTTCGGGGTCTGTATATCATCGACAATCATGTGCATGTTTTGTAGCATTAGCTTAGAATAAAGATACTCACTTAAGTTTTAACTATACTTGTTTCAGTAGTCAAATTAAACTGAAAGCAACTATCTTGTTTTTAATGATGTACCAGTATTGTATACAACATGATTTTAATGACCTTCCTAACAGGAACTCATCCACTTCAAATCAATATGCACAGTATGATAATACTACCGTACTAACAACATCTTTCAATTACTTGAGTCAATGAGGTGATCACGTAGGTATTGATTTACGTAGGAAGTGTATAAGTGTCGCGATTAAACTCTTATTCATAATTTTTTCCGTATTGCATTTTGATAACACGAGTTTGCATGTTACATTGAAGCACACTCCTATGCTGGTGAACGTAATATTTTGTAAATGTTTCTATGTCAACTCAACAAATTATGTAATATGTACTTTGAGTTATCAATATTAATTCTTATTGAACAGTTTTTGTGGTTTTTGTTTTCGTTCTCATTTAACATTCTTTTTCTAATAGTGCTTATATTACTTGGTAGTTGTAATGGATGTAAAGTCGTATCTCTAACCTATGGTAAAATCTGTAAGACGATTTTCCTAGTACTCTTTATTGAATAATACAGTTTCCTTCAAAGACACGTGTAGTTATAGACGAAATTAAAAACAAAAGCCTAATGAGCGATCAATTATCATAAGTCTTTAGAAATTAAGTTCAATGTCGAAGACTTTTGTGTAACTGTTCAAACGAAGAATAAACCAACAAAAACCTTGTTCCTCGATTATATCGGTTAATTAGTATTTAATTAAATTATTATTAAATGTATATCCGTGCGACCTTTCTTATAAGATTAACTAAACTTTAGATTGTATATCACAAATGTCTGTACAAAAGTATGTGTCACCGGTGTTGGAAGAAAAGGCAGAAGTAGCACATACTGATTTGTATGCGGGGAGCTAAAAATGTTGCAAAAGACTTGTAACGACGATAAAAAGAAATTTTGAAAATAAAAACAATGACCTTTTAAAATTTTGGGTCTAAAATGAGGGGTTGTTTGTCAATATAATGGAATTTTATGCGACTGTCATACAAGTGAGAGGTTTAGCTAGCTATAAAACCAGGTTTAATCCACCTTTTTCTACATAAGGAAATGCCTGTATCATTTTAGGAATATGACAGTTGTTTTCATTCGTTTGATGTGTTTGAGCTTTTGATTTCGCCATTTGATAAGGGACTTTCCGTTTTGAAGTTTCCTTGTAGTTCGGTATTTTTGTTAATATTTTACTTTTGCAGAAACACAGTCTTCTTCAAAGACATCTAGAGGTCCGCAAAAGGACTTAAAGTATCGAACACATTTTGATTTCCAAATCATGTGTCGTTTTTTATTTTCCTTTTGGTAGCTGGATCAAGCAGGCTTTTAATATGTATTTTACTCTTACGACATATTGTCAAGATATGCACGTCTTTCTTAAATTTATTCCATTTTTCAAGATTTTTTCAACTTAGATATGTGTGGTAACATTGGTGATTAGTACCATCTACAATTTATCGAGATAATTTTAAAAGTACCCGTTTTCTACAAATAAATTTGTGAGCAAATTATCAATTTAATTCATTTCAATTAGAAACTCTACAGAAAGAATTTTATTATTTTTTTACATTAAAATCAATGTGACCTTGCGCATTGTTTATGAAGCTGTTCGTGTTGAAATATACCTTGCAGCTCAGCAATAGATGTTATGATGTGAGCTGTGCACTTCCTTATACAACTCTAAAATGTTGTTTTACTTCAGCAAATTAAGTACTTTGAGATCGTTCACAGTGAATTTGTTTCTTATTATTTTGTTCACAAAGGAATTCAGTTTCTTTTTAATCTTTTTTTGTCGAGGGAAAAGCGGGGGAGGGGTTAAGCGGCATGATGCTGTCGTTGACCCAAATCTTATCACATTAAAGAACTTTACTTTTATATTAAAAAATCAGGTATCAAGTCTTTCAAATTTTCCTCTTACATTTCAAAATAGATTTCACATGACAACCCTATAAAATACAGAAGAAAACATGTCCTTATACAATTGTCATAGAAAATGTGTGTACAAAATCACAATACATATAAGAAAACAATTAAAACATTTTAGTGTGTTATAAGGAAGTGTAAAGCTTATAAATTTAGGGATGATATTAGATATTATTTTTTAAACGCTAATTAAGCCCGGAAAAAATAAAAAAACAAAACAATTATATTTTTTTTTAACTTTAATATAACTAGATCACAGACTGCTGGATGTTGAATGCAATATATTTCGATACACATATTGCAATGAATAAATTTATTTACAGAATTTGCTTAAAGTATTGTTCAACATCGACGTTTTTGATTGACACGTTTATCGCACAACCCCTCTTCTTTTCTTCATTGATGACATAACCCATACCCCAAACTCATTAGTGGGTTTTACCTGAAAAGAGCGACATGACAGGTGCCACCAGCAAACAAGAACTGCTCCCCTATCTGGAGCTTTTTCGCCTTATTTCTTTTAGGCATATTGTTGTCTATCTTTCTTCAACTTATGTATTTTGATTGCATCTTCTCCCCTTTTCCTAAATTCATTAGAATGCCATGTATGCTATTAATAAAACCATGTAAAATATTAAGCAGTCAGATATATTAAACAAACGTCCAAACTTAGAGTGTTGGAAGTAAGTACAATAACCAAAATGAATACTGGCAATCATACAACATCTCTTTATTTTAATGATCACGGCTATTCGTATTGCCTGTCTATAACTTTTCCAAGGCATATATTTACAGTCATATTATTCTTCATTATAATATTTGAAAATAACCTCGACTCGATAAAAACCAAATATGGCAAGAAATGAAGCAACCAATATGATAACACTAGATTTCTGTCAAAACTAAGCCATCAAATTGGTCCGTATGGCCTTACCTTAATATTGCAGTAAAACTGAACAGAATACTACCACTCGTTATATACACAATTTCTCTATTTTAAAAGATAGTCCATGTTAAAATAGAATATGTCATCCTATATGTCCGATGAATCACAGACGACCGATTGTTTTAATGGATGTCCCAGGTTTAAATGTTTTGTCGGTTAAAGGTTCAGGAAATTGTACTTCATAAATATATATAAAACTATATTTTGAACAAAAAAAAATCAATTGTGACAATATACGTATTGTATTTTTCATTTTAAAATTGGAATAAAAAAAATTAATTATAAATATCCAATTTAAATATTGTGAACATCAATACATTGACTTCTTCATTTATCTAAAATTGCACCTGCTTCTTAAATCAGTTACCTGATGTAACAAACTATTAGAACTTCATTCTATGTTAGAGAAAAGGGTAGGTTAATAAATTGCAAACTAAACACATTAATGAATACATCTAGAATAGTCGACTAATAATTGTACAACTCATACGTTTAGTTCTCAAAAACGTATTATTGCAAAAATAAAGATGACCAATAATAAAACAAATAAATTCGTGAGTAAAAACAAAAACGAATAAAATTATTTAGAAAGTACAAAACACATTCTATCAGAAAAAGAGAATTCCTAATTTATTTTCTTTTTTCAACGTTTTCCATTTGTTTCACCAAAAGATTGAAACACACATTTTCATGTCAATATTATAACAAATTTATTAAATGATTGCATCAACTAACACCCCACACTAAATCCCCACATATGTGTTAACCATTGTTGTACAACAAACATACGAATTATGAAATTTGTTAAAAAATATTGGGAAAATTTCCTCACACAGTTGATAACCAAAAAGAAGTTAATCGACTGGGGAAATATCCCCACAAAATGTTAACCAAAAAGATTTAATAGATTGGGGAAAATTTCCCACAAAATGTTAACCAAAAAGAATTTAATAGATAAATTTTCCCCACGATAATTTTAGCCAAAAAACAAATATATAGAATGGGGAAATTTCGCCACAAAAAAGTGAATTAAAAAGAAATCAATAGACTGGGGAAATTTTCCCACAGAGTTGATAACCAAACAAAAATTAATAGACTGGAGAAATTTCCCTACAAAAACGATAACCAAATATAAATCAGAATGCTGGGGAAATTTCCCTACACAGTTTATAACCAAAAAGGCATCAGTTGAATGGGAAAATTTCCCCACAAAGATGATAACCAATAATAAATCAATAGACTGGGGAAGTATATCTACAAAGATAATAACCAAAAAGAAATCAGTAGACTGGGGAATATTCCCACAGAAATGATAACCAAAATTAGTTCATAGGCAGGAGGAAAATCCCCATGCACTACACAATGATTGCATATACCATTGACACACAAAAATAAGAAATATCACGATCGTCTTACAGATACATTAAGAAGAGAAAAGAGTGGGCAAGCGTATCCACCAGCAGATATAAATAATGAAACATTGCCTGGGAAAATATTCACACTGATAAATTAAACAACAAAAATTACAGATAAAGCTTAAGGTAATACAGTCCACGATATGGGGGAATTTTCCCCCACAAACTCTTGTTAAATGTAAAAGTGTATATCAGGCCTTTTATAAATGACTATACGGTATGGGTTTTTCTCATTGTTGAAGGCCGTACGGTTGTCTATAACTACTTACATCCACTTCATTTGACCTTTGGTTGATAGTTGTCTTACTGGCAATCATACCAATTCTCCTTACTTTTATATAATCATAAATTAACGAATATGCCTTAAACTGGTGAATTTCTACGACTGTTTGAAAATTGTGCACCCTCATTTAGACCATGAAAATAAATTTGAAGTGAGTTGACATCCTTGCACAATTTGGTTTTAATTTGAACTATTTAACATTTACAGTCAAATTAATATAATAAATCCAACATAAAGCAAACCAAATAAAACTGACTTTAAAAGATGATAATCTCTTGTAGTTCTTTGATATCCACATACAAAAAAAAAGTAAAATCACAAAAATACTGAACTCCGAGGAAAATTCAATCGGAAAGTCCCTAATCACATGGCAAAATCAAATGACAAAACACATCAAACGAATGGACAACAACTGTCATATTCCTGACTTGGTACAGGCATTTTCAAATGTAGAAAATGGTGGATTGAACCTGGTTTTATAGCGCTAAACCTCTCACTTGTACGACAGTCTTATCAAATTTCGTTATATTTACAACGATGCGTGAACAAAACAGACATTATAAATAAAATAGTCAAAATATGGGTACAGCAGTCATCACTGTGTTACAATATCAAAACAAACAATTATTTACAAAAAAAGCACAAAAGCATCTATCAAATTAAGACCCACATTCATTGCTTCGCGTGTCTGACGTCAGAAAATGTAAACGTCACATAAGAAAAAAGTTTGTCATTCAATGTCTATTCAAAACAATTTTATAATTTCACATGGGGAATGTTGGTATACAGGGTTAAAAAATCAAAAGTTATGTTAGAATTAATTTCAGAAATAGACCGAGATTTATAATTGTCCAGAAGTTCTTCAGAACCCTTAAGAATCCACATATGGTAAATACCACTACGCGAGTAAAATAAATTTGTCGTTTGTCGTTCAAAGTATTTTCAAATTTATAATAGAACAATAACATAATGACATATAATAGAACAATAACATAATGACGGGATCTTTTAAAGTACAGAGTCACGTTATAAGAACCACAGAAACACAAAAAGTCGCATATACAAAACACACCAGTAAAAATTAAAGATAATACAAACACATTGACGGGATGTATAAGTACCTAGCCACGTCAAATGGATATCACAGAAAACAAACCAAACAGTAAAAGTAATATTAATAATAGAACAAAGACAAATGAAAGAACAATATTACACGTTGTTAAGATGATAAACAACGTCAGTATGCAGAATCTATACTTCAAGACCATCATGTATTGTTTGTGAAGTTGATACGGAATATTTATCAACAAGGTCTTGGTACCTTCCGATGAACTTTTTTAGAAAAAGGACGAGACGTTCTTTGACATACCCCTGGTTCATCAACTTTCTGCTCAGACACTGGTGACGTTTTACAAAGTCTGAGTAAGAGCTGCAAGCTCTTGAATATCGAATAAGTTGGGAAATGTATATCCCATATGCAGGTGAAGTTGGTATATTGCTACTAAGGTGGGGGAAATTTATAATTTTAAAATTAAAATCGTCTCGTTTGTCATAGATTCTGGTACTGAGATGACTGTGTATGTCAAATTCGAGATATAAGTCTAAAAATGAGGCGGAGGAAGCCGTGTCTGTTGTTTCTTTAATTTCTAGTTCTGGGGGATATATTAATGGAACCCAATCAGAAAAGTTCGGATTGTTAATGGAAAGAACATCATCAATATATCTAAAAGTGAAATTAAATAATCTGGCTTCTTTGATCTTCTTGTTTTTGACAAGTGTCTGAAGGAACTCCGATTCATATGAAAATAAGAAGAGGTCGGCAAGGAGAGGCGCACAGTTCGTTCCCATAGGAATGCCGACAATTTGTTGAAAAAGTCTACCTCCAAATTCAACAAATATGTTGTCGATAAGAAACTCCAGCATACTGATCACTTGTTCTTCTGTGTAGCATGTTTTACCCTTTTGTTCACTATTAACAAAATATGCCTTATGATATCCCAAAGTAATAAATTTATAGCGTATGCTACCATTTTTATGATGAAAGGCATTGTGGATTATTTCTTTCAAGCGATTTTTCAATTTCACATGGGGAATGGTGGTATACAGGGTTGAAAAATCAAAAGTTTTGATAGAACTAATCTCAGAAAAAGACCGAGATTTAAAATTATCTAGAAGTTCTTTAGAATTTTTAAGAATCCACATATGGTTAATACCACTACGCGAGTAAACAGTTTCACAGTATTTCTGAAGACCCTCTTTCACTGCGGACAGAATTTTAGTCAATCTAATGGACAATTCTTTAGTGGAACATGCAGATGAGCCGGCAATGTACCGTTGTTTGTAAGGAATTTTGTGGAGCTTAGGTATCCAATACAAAAAAGGTAAGTCCTCCGATTTGGTGTTCAATGTAATGTTCATTGAAGCCATGAAGGACTTATGATTTGCTAAAATCTCATCCTTGTCAAATGATATGTCTTTGTATGTGGGATTACCTGAGTGCTCATTTATTCCTAATTCTTTTACAAGACATTCGTAGTAATACGATTTACATATAAAGACAATATTATTTGAAGCTTTGTCCGCAGGAACAACAACATACTTATCATGAAGAGATGATAGACATTTCACGGCCTCTTTGTCTCTGAAAACGGACTTAGGTCGATCATTCACACAGTTTTTCAACTTATGAATGCGACGTTTTATCAGAGACCTGATAGTTTTGACCCATTCTGACAAAGTGTCCAGTTCAACTTCTTCTCGTTTAGCCCATGCTCTGGCGTAGTCCTCAATGGAATCCATAATTATTTTGAAGTTATGGTTCCAATTGATGTGTTGGGGTTCTCTAAACTTAGGACCATGAGAAATCACCTTTCGGAGATTTTCATGTTGAATTATGTTTAGATCCCCAGTTATAACATGACCAGAGGGGCTGTAATTATAAGGCGAGTGGGAACAGTCACATGTCGGTGGGTTTTTGAGGTATTGTTCTAAGTCAAGGTCCTGCAATGCTTGTTTATAGTTAAATACTTTAGGTGCAATGGTTTTGGTGTAACTGTAGGATACAATAGGAACAGACTGATTTTGAAAGTAAATAGGAATTTTAGATATTACCTCCTTGTGATGTAGAACGTTGCAGATGTTGATTGCATCAATCCCTCTATTGGTAAAGTGAACAGGAAGGAATTTCCTCTTTTCCTCGTGTAAAGGTTCCGATCTTACTGGTTTGAAAAGACGGAAAAGAGCTACATCACAAATAATACTGACTAGTCTGTATATTGGAGAAAATGTATCGATGCATCCTTTGTCAAGTGCAACAGCAGTAGATCTTGCCTTGAGTTGGAGTCTTCTTTTCTTTTCCTGTAAATAGATAAATTAGTGATAAAAAACATTGCTTCGTGTACCAGAAAGTGTGACGTAACGTTATCATG